AATGGATCCAGATGGTCAAAGGATCATCTCAGTATGAAGAAGTATTCTTTTTCAAAGAGCTGTGGGGAAGTGGAATGGAGAAATCAACACTGTAAGACATTCACTGTGAACAGTTTGGATCTCACTGGGGGAGGAATCCCTGTGCCCCTAAGAACTATGCCACAAGATATCAGTCAAGGAGTCAGCTGAACAGTAGAGATCATCTGTCTGAAAGCAAAAAGGATAATCATAATTCTTAGGAGAGTTATCATTTAAAATGGGCCTTACAAGTCTTTTCCACTGTCCAATTCCTCACAGCAGGGTAATTCAAGAGTACTGGGCTTAAACCACAACATCAAGCTATCACCACTACAAGTGACATAAAGAGTAAGGTTTATTAAACAGACAATGGCAATCACGTATAAAAAGAACTGTTCATATCAATATAAAAAATTGCTCCCAGATCCCTTTCTTCTGGCCTGTCCCTTTCAGCACTCAGATGCATGCTCTTTCCAGTAAAAGACTGGTCCCAACCAACTACATGGAATCATACTACAACTTCTGATTCCACAGACCAGGACAGAAGGCGATAATGAAGCACAGAAAGGGATTTCTAGTGTGCAGGGAACAGTATGTCCTCAGAGAGAGTAGACAGCTTTCAAGTACAAGCCCATACACTAGAACATACAAGAGATTAATAAGCAAAAAGCCTATTACCTAAATCAGAGGATACTACTATTTACTATTTCAATGGAGGGCAACATTTATGAAGTCTGATGCAAAAGTCAACCATCTGCAAAGCAAACGTTTGTTCGAAATTTTCCTTTCCACCCATTTACCTGAAAATGGGAAATACACTGAATGAGAAAATAAACCACTGGCTCAAGGTCATGACACTACCTTTAAAAACTTATTTTAAAAAGTCCAAATAAAACTGAGTGTTCCTTGCTACATCTGTCCTCGCCCAAAGACCTGCATTTTAATTTATAGCCATTTAAACTTGTTTCCTCAAAATGAGTATAAGTATGTGGAGATACATTCTATGCTAAGCTTGTTTATCTCATTTTCTGTATGGCATGGGGTGTCATTTTCATTTTCTGCTTAGTTTCCCTCACAATGAACTAGCCCATGGAACTCCTTTAAACCAATATTGTATTAACAAAGTTAGACAGTCAAACACAAGGCAGGAATAACCAGAGCTTCCTGAATTAATGCAAATGTTTTTGGAAGCACTAAGAAATTTGTAATTTAGCTCTGAACATCAATCTCTGCTCACAGCTGGAATAAAATGTCGGTGGCAGCAAAAGGGACTGCTGGAGCACTGTGGTTCTCCTCACATCTTCCGCTGAAGCATTCAGTACTGATTTTTACCAGAGCCAGAACTGCAAGACTAAGCAAGCCACAGGCCTGACCTAATGTGGCAGTTCCCATTCTGCCTGTAAAGTGGCTGAATGGAGATACCATTACATGAAGGATCAGGGGAATTAATGCTCTGGACACTACTGCAGGCATTTTGCCTGCGGTCTCAGACAACAGATTGCCAAACTTTCTTAAGGGCAAGAAAATACACATTCTCTTTTGCAGACAAATCCATTGTGACTCTGTAACCTTCTATCAGCTTTTCAGAGATAAAACTGTACAAAAGCAAGCTTAGGACCATGACGATCTTCAGTTTCTTGGTATGTAACATTATGGAAAGCAACTCAAAGTGCTGACCTTAGTGATGTTCTCTTTTTCCAAGTACAGGCGATAGTTTGTTATGACTTTATTTCACAGAATGTCAAACTATATGCTTACGCACTGGTGTACATAACACACTCTGGAAAGAAAAACAAGAGAGAGGATGAGACCCAGCTTGGAAAAAGAACCATCAATTTTCTTTTCAAATGTGGCTGAACAGGAGAGTGGAGAAGGAACAGATTAATGATGAAGAATGCAAACTAGGACTTTGGTATAAAGTTATCATCATGTCCAGATGTTTGTTTTGCCTTTGACAGTTGTTGGAACTTTCACTTAAAAAATACGGGATATGCATCTAGTCTTTAGGCACCTACATGCATTTAAAATGCCTGTGATATATTTAATAAACTGAGCCTTATACATGCAGCACTCCAGTTCACCTGCAAAATGAGGAAGATGGTGACAGGGTAATATAATATAAAAAATGAAGTTTGCTTAAACATCAAGTACGTAATTTACTAATAGTACATAATAAGTATTAACAGATGCATCCAACAGTTATTCCAGCAACAAGCCAAGGTACTTCTTGTGCCTACAGATTGTAATATTGCCTCAGACGATGACTGTAAATCCATGTAAAATTTTGGGTGTATTAGATGTGTACGCCTGATATATCTTTACGTATATGGCATCTTTTAAAAGTTCATTACTGTTGGAAGCTTTTTAAAAATAAAAGTCACTTAAAAATGGACTTCTTCCCTTGAAAGTATTATGTATATCTGATTACTGTGCAGCCAAGTTGAAATACTCCCTCCATCTTCTATTCCAAAACAGATGGCAAATAATGAGCAAGTTGGAATATTCTCTGCTTATAGTATTTAGCTTGCGGTTAAGGACTTTCCAACTTTCTGGGTTAGCACCATCTCACTAGAAAACTGCTGTAGATCAAGGAGGACCAGCACAGCTGACATAATTCAGTCTCAAACCAACCTTCCCATACTTAATAGCCTCTTGTGTCAGCATGTGTCCTAAGCTTAAACATCTTGGATTGAATTTGGCTACAACCTAAGAGTACAAGGATCTGTTTAGCAGATGAGACTGGCAGGAACAGAGGAGCTTAATGTGGTCAGAGGTTCCGAAGGCAGTGGAAGAATTATGGCTGCTGATGCACTGAAGGTAAAAAGTGTATCAGCAGCCATACCCTTGTTCTTTTACCCTAGATCCTGACAGTTCTAATGCTTGGATTCCTACTGTGCCACCACTCAAATAGGAGAGGAGACAAAGTGGCAAGATTTTTCTTAAAGTTTCTGCAAGCCTACCAAGACTGCAATATTCCAAAGTAAACAGCTATCCTGAAAAAAACACACAAGTCTTAAGCAATTCAATTCACCACACTTACTAATGAAATTGTGTTCTATCACGTGATTACCAATTAATTATCCCTCATTTTAACATGTGACAGTAGGCCAGAGGCTTTCTTTCTCATTCCACATAAAAACACATATGTAGTGGTGCAAAAGACAATTGATTTGATGTTTTCCAGACTTAAAATTACTTTATACAAACAGCTTCTTCAAAATGATAAGCAATGGACTCATACCTCCTTAAATGTGTATTGCTAACCTTGTTTATTTCTTTAAAAAAAATAAAAAATGACTGTGTCTCAAGTCAACTCATTAAATCATGCTACTTCCTTACATAGGTTAAGATAATTTCAGAAGTATAAAATACATATTCCTTATTAATTCCGGTATTCCTTAAATTTTCTTGTTAGACTAGCGGCTATGGGATGATCAGTTCTCCTCCAGCCAGAGTGCCAACATGGCTTAGATTATACTCTCCCCTTCAGCTAGCAGATTGATGCAACCTCAGAATTACTAGTTTTGGATAAACATGAATGGCAGAGACTACAGAAAAATTTTCATTATCTTTTTTTAAAACAACATACAGGAATAAAATAGAACCACAACTTTGATTTACAAAGCATAGCTTTAATTATACAGATTGCTTCAACGAGTTTTCAAATGTAATTTTAAAAAGTCACCAGTGTTTTAATACATGTGCTCTGAAATAACATTATAACACTTGCTTTTGAAATACTTATTGCTAATATGTTAGTATTTGTTGAGTTTTACCAAGCGTCAACTATTGAATATTTTTATATTTTATAACTAATTCATCATTGATATGCCATCTCTAGATGTTCTTTAGTGCATATATACTCTTGAAGTGACGCAGGTATTACTCTGATTTACAGGTTATGAAGACCTTAAGTATGTTTGCCAAACTCAAATGGGAGCCATGCTTAAATTACAGAAAGAAAAAGCAGCTAATCTACTGAGTGGCATAAATAATGAGAAGATAATGACTCAGTCATGAAAGCTAACAAGTTTACATACTTAGAGCTTCAGCTTTAGTCTTGGTCTTGTAAGGAATGTGAAATACCAGAAAGCAAACAATTGCCTGGCCCACAGCATTCTGGTATAATCACAATAATCTGGGGAATTCAAATATATCGTGAAGAATTTCATACGAAACAAATTCTGTTAAAGAAGATCCTTTAATGAAATTATATATTTGACTCACGGAGTAGATGAAGAAATTTGGATGGAAGTCTTCAGGGCCAGTCAGGCACCAAGTGGTTCTCTTTCTATTGCTTCCCAATGCATACCTTAAGGAGTACCAAGGTACATACAAACTTAATTTTGGCTTTTTTAATGAATTATCAGCAAAGGCACCAACTTGGAGGTAATTTCTTATCATATGAAAACTGTTCAGCCACAGTTGCTTTTGAATAAGCCCAACAGCAGACAGAAAGTGGCTTCCACTGACCCACATGACAGTGAACAAGTAGCAAGAATCTGGTATGCCATTAGTAACCTCCCAGGCACTTGCTTTTTTAAGGGTCCTTTTCAAACCAGTCTTGCAGTGTTTGTAGCTTTCTATACCACTGAAACCTGAGTTAGATAAATATACTCTTCTAGAGAGCAGGAATTTCTTTAGCAATGTTGTACAGACTCTAACGTGACTTCTAAAGGCAGCATACAGTTTGAAAATAGATTCAAATTGGTTTTCAATGTATTTTTCCCTTGGATTTTAGGTTCTCAGAATACAACGTAACACTGATTTGCCATCACTACGAGACAGTTGACTTCTATGTAATTCTTGATGTGTCACCTAGCATATTGTATATTAGAAAAAAACCCCACCAATTCATCAATGAAACAATTTCATTTTGAAAAGTACTTTACCTGTAACTCACGACACAGAAAGAAGGCAATTTAAATACGTTACAAAGAAAATCCAATAATGATGAGAATGCAGTCTTAGAGACCTGGGGGTTTGAGGCATGGACTTTTTATTTACAAAGTGATGTCAGAAGAATCAGAAAGGCATCTGAAATGAGGCAGCATAAAAGATGCAAGGATCTCACAATTAACTTTCACGGTGGAAAGGTCCAGGATGAAACACGCTGCTTGTTCAAACTTTTTGGGAGAGAACATGAAGGATCTTAGTTCTTAAAAATGCTGCCTGATAAATCATGTCACCCATGTGACTCACCAAAACCATTGTCTGCTAAAGTTCCAAACACATCAGCATTTAACAGAGGTTTCCAAAGGCCAAAATGAGTCTCTTCAGTCACTAAATGAAGATTCACTATCAGAACTCTCTTCTGCTTTCCCATCATCTCCCCAGGCAGGGACAGGGGCATCTGGGGTCCTGCAGGCAACAAAAATGTTCTGTGTTGTAAATCTTAGAAGAAGGCTGAGAACACGAGCAGCTTATCATGCAGTGCTAATGTCCTTCCACCACAACTGCACACACTAATAAACATTTAGCACATTAACTGTCTACAGTTTACAAACTCACACCATACTGATATTGCTTCACTTACAACTTAAACAAGGAACCATAAATCACCGGACATCAAAACTCTGTAAACATCAGTTTGAACGCACACCTTTGAAGCTACTGGAAAGAATGACAGATCACTACGAAGTGGCAAACACTAGTAGAAAGAGCAGAAAGCAGGCAACAGTGATTAATTCCTTTTTTTTTTTCTGCCTTCAGGGGTTCTAGGGCTGAAGGGAACATGCTGTACACCATTAAGCAGTGTAAATAGTACATGAAAAAAAAGACAGGAAATGAACAACATTGTATCCAACTAAAACTGCAGGGATAATTTAGAGAAGAAAAAAGGAATTACTCAGAGTGGAATTTGGCTAGAACATTGAGTTAAATTTGACATGCAAGAGCAGCCATGGGATTTTTACTGACTACAAATGATCAGACCTCTTGTATTTAGCTTTTAAGAGAATATTTTAAGATAGATCTAACATCATCTCAAAACATCAGCTCAGGGAATCTACTGGGAAAGAAGGGGAGATAAGTAAAACATCTAAAGACTAACTAACACTACTGACTAAAGATGATGGCTCTCCCCAGAGTCTCCCTCCTAAAAGTATGTAAGGAGTTTGACAACAGAAGCAAGACTAAGCCTGGTAAATTCTGAAACCAGGGTAGAAAACAAAAACACAATTATACTTGGGGAAGGGGAAGAACGATCTTCACAGAAACTAGGTTCCAGGATGACAATTAACTACTCTCTTTTTGATAAAATACTACATTCTAAACTAAGCTGACAATTGTTTATTTGTCCTATTGTTATTTATCTCAGGTCTACCCCTGTGTGTCATGCCATGGTTTTCCAGCTTTAGTTCTGTTTGTTATAATTTCTCTTGGATATCCCTCAGGTACCTCTGAAGTACTTCTAAACATTTTGGGTGCAAAATAGGAAGTTGAAAGTGTATTAAAGAACTATAAGAGAGCCTTCTCCCTCACCCCAGCACACCTCTAAAAAAATTAAGAAAGCATTTGCTTTCTCATGCAAATATCCCTTCACAGTATTATTCCTTGTTGCCGCAGTAATGAGACAAAACAGAGGAGCTGTGCAAAGACGCGATCTGGAGAGACCAGTGCAAAAACCCTCCTCTAGTAAGAAGAGGAAGATAGCAATGAATTCCTTTAGTTTGTGAGAACAGGACAAACTCTCCTGGAACTCTAGACAGGCAAGAGAGGAAGGATAAGAAACACAAGTTAAAAATAGGTAAATTGGAAGCTTGATAAAATAGGCAGTTATAAAACTCTGTAAAATGTTGAGAAAGGAGTGATAACGTAAGTAGAACAGCCAAAGGAAGAGAGTATAAGTGACTCCATGTTATTAGAATTTGCACCTCTGCAGCCACAAAAAATCCACACTCAGTCACTGGCAAGTAGCTGGGAGAGTCTGCAGTAAGCAACTGAGCATACAGCAATAGGTAAATTGTCCTGATTTTCAGTGGGACTCAGTAAGCAGTATTAAGGAATTCAAAGACCCCAAAAATGTGGTGTGAATTGGCAATATAAAGAAAAGAACAGTCTGATATTGAGACAAGAAAGCAAGAAAATTAGAAGAATGGTCACCCACTCCTCACTCCTAAAAATAGTATGCATTATGCACCTTGCCAAATAATTAACTTTCTTTAATCAGGCAGACTTCCTATGCAGTTTTTAAATCAGTAACATTTTATAGAAAATCTGCCTAAGCATTACTGTTGCACAGAATCTTTGAAGATTGACTTTGAGACCAAATACCACACATATTCCATAAGTCCCAACCCACAGGAATAACATTTCTATCCTAACCCAAAATGGTCAATCCAAAAGTAGGTTCTTTTTTTTAAGAAGCTTTTGAAATTTTAACTTATTTTTATCTATTATAAAAATCCATCCCATTATGAAGAAATAGCAGTGGCTACAGAAAGGTATGGACCAGAAATGCACAGTAGAAAACACAGCACATTTAACACACATATAGTAAAACCATGTTTGACAATCCTGATTCTTATTTGTGTTCTCCTTCTTTTTTCAAATCTGATTAGTAAAAATATCAAATGAAGAATAATTACTTTAGGCTTATTTAGACACAAGGAAGTAGCTGGGAGTTTTAAGTGGCTCGACATATGATGATAATTCAGTTTCCCTATATATTTATTTATTTTATGAAACAAGTTGCTGGTTTCAGAATAAGCCTTTCCAAAATGTTAAAAGATGTCACTGGGAATGAGAAGTGGACTTTCTAATACACTGATGGTTCCTGAACAGGATGTAAGTGTTCCAAACAGTTTAGTGGCTATTAATGTAAGAATGAAAGTTAGCTTTTTCATCAGTTTAACAAACTGTGAAACAGTACAGTAAAACTAAATTGTATGTCAAATGTAAAATAAGCCTAAAATTCATGCTCATAACCAGATAAGTAGCTTTGAGAATGAGTATTTATTCTTAATAGTTTTCACATCAGATTAGCTCAATCAGCAGTCACAACTTTGAACTGCTGACTTCAATTTATACTGTCAATGATCAAGTCAAGTTGTATAGTCCATCTACTGAGCGATTCAGGAAACAACTGCGTTGTCCCTCATGCATCTAGCAATAGAAAAGAGAGTTTGTTCTTACTCTACAATGATAACATTTTCTTACTGAAGTGTTCAAAGTAACTGGGAGAAAACCTCATACTCAGCACAGTGAAAATGTTACTGATGTATTATTTGGTTCCTCATCTCTAACTGCACATTGTTAAATGTTACCTTGTCACTGGCATACCCTTTTCTTGAACCTTTGGCTTGCAAAAAGTTCTATCATTTCCTCAAAGTCTGAATGGTAAAGTTCTGCAGCTTTCTGTTTGTGAGGGTACAGTAGCCACCCATTTATATTCTGATCTTTGTATTTCCTGGGCCTTGCCTCAGACTAGACAACACTGGAAAGACAGCTCATATCTGAGGTTGCATCTCTCCTCCTTTGGTACTGATGGCCCTCTTCAGACCTATAAATTGCTAAACATGCCTTTCACAGAAGAATTAGAAACCTGTTTTAATGCTGATAATTTATATTTGAAATACTATAAACAAGCTTTTCTAAGCAGACTTTTTCCCAAGCTTTTCAAGCACATGGTTGCACTGAGCCCTACTGGAAGTTATAAATTACTTACTCTAGAAGATCTGGATTTAGGCCTTCAGAAATCATTTTGTTTCGTATTGCCATTACAGGAACACCCTGTGTAGGGAGGAAGAAGAATAATATGAAATTACTGGACACAACAACTGAACTAAATTCCAAACGTTCTTCCAGACTACACATTCATACAAATTTATGGATGTCACTTGCTGAAAAAAAACGCACGGAATGATAATCTCAGTTGCCATCAGTATGAGCCTAGAAGCAAGAAATGACCAAGATCAAAAGCTCTCTTAATCCATTTTATATTTATGTCAAAACATCTAGAGGAAGTTGCAGGGAGATTATCAAGAATGGACAGATATATCTGCAATTCATGCAGACAAAACTGTTATGTGTATGGATGAGAATGTGAGGAAAGCATAAAGTAGCACAAAGACAGCAGAGAACAATTGTGCTAGAAAGATGAAGAAGACTTGGATATGCTGAATGTAAGCCAAAAAGGGAGGAAAACCAGGACAGTGGTTACTGCTCTGGACAAGTATCTGAAGACACTGCTAAAAACTGCAAAAGTCTTTAAAAAACATGTGGAAAAAGGCAAACAATACATAGGAACAGAAGCACAATTTAAAACTGATTCCTCTGAATACAACTTTTGTACAGTCAGGCTTGAATCTTCTATGACTTGTGGACAGATTTAAGCCAACTATGTAAGTGTTAAAAAAATTTCCTCCTTTCACTGCAAGTCCTTCCACAGCTTCTGCACTTTATTTTATTCAGCAACACCTAAAAATCCCCTCGTCTTGGACCGCAGATGCAAGAACACTTTGACCCACGTCGTCTTGCTAGACACATTCCAACAAACTGCTCCTATGTTTCCACTGCAGTTGCTCAAGGACAACTTCTTGCTTTGCCATATCCCTGTTGCAAACCATCAGAAGTATCACCTGGATAACTGCATGCCAAGATAGGAGGAAAGGAAAAATAACAAAGGGGACACAATTTCTGATTTCAGGGGACAAAGCTACTGGTAGTCTAGGAAAGACAGGAGAGGCCTCACAGTCTAAAAGAAAAGGAGTGTAAGATTCTTTTGGCACAGGACAAATATCCTATGTCCAAAGTAAGTAAAATAGTGATAAAATAAAGGGCAGCCATGACTAATGATCCAAAGAAGCATGTGGTACTAGAGACAGCTGCAGTAGCTTAACCTGGCAAAGTGAGAGCTAAGCTAGCTGTCTTACTGTGTTTTTCTCATGCAGTTTCACAATCAAGACTTGTGCATGAAGATTCTGGAATAATACACAGGTACATGGTTTCAGCAATTTTTAGGCATATCATCAAAATGTGACTCAAACAGTTGCAAGGTATTAGACTGTAAGAAAGAATTTCTCAGTAATTCACAACTAATTTACATTACAAAGGGGAAAGCACTGCAGTATTTCATGGCAGTTTAAAATATTCACTTATTTTAGTATAGATTTGGACACCAGTGATTGCATGTCTAAACAACATCTTGTACTACCTAATGGTTTTCCCCTTACTTGACTGCTCTTACTGGTCCTTTCCACAGCTCAGAAGTCACTGATGAAGTATTTATGCATCAATTCAAACCAACTGAAAACAAGACTGAGTCAAATCAGAGAAAGCAGAATTGGTATTCGTTTTCAATGAAAGGGAGCTTGGTATATGAACTTGTAGGAATGGACTGAAAACTGTTATGTTTTCACATTCATACTTGGAGAAGGGTTTTATTCCAAAACTGTGTGCACCAATATATGTAAGAAAAAATCCATCTTGGTACTCTCATATAGTCACAGATTTACAAAACACATTTGGAGTTTAATCAGAATATCCTTTAACAATGCACTTTTTTCCTGAATGAAAACAAGTAAGATTGTACCTGAATCTGTTTATAATACAATTAGGACATTGTAATTATCTTTCATACTTCCAGAAGTCTTAATCCAGAAAATCACAGCCTAATACTGCTGTGACCCTAAATCTTACTAAAATGAAACAGACAACTATTTTAAACCTAAACCATAACTACCCTCAGCATACATCCCCACTGAAAAGGCACAGGTGTATTTTTCTAACATAGAAGCCAGTGCTGAATTTCCATCGCATTTGTCTCTGCCCAGCTAAGATCTGAAATAATCCGAATCACTACACATTCAAAACAATATACCCCAGCCCTACTCCCAGCCTGGTCCTGCAGCTTAGGAGATGCAGGTCCTGGAGAAGCCCCAGTGCAGGCAGGAATCTTGTTGCAAAATAGGCTTTGGTTCTCCATAGTGCAGGAGGTGGTCACATATCATCACTGCTGGCAATTCCTGAAGATCATGCATTCTCCATGTGTTTTTTATTTCAGTCCTTTAAAGAAAGGATCAATCTATATCAGGCCAGTCTTGGCATCTGTGCAGTCATGTCTGATGTTTAGAATCAAGTAAAAAAAGTATTTGTACTCCAAACATAAGTTCATCTGAAATTGCAGATTGCTCCTATCACACTCCCAGTAGAAGTGTTCTGAACATTTGTCGTAGCAAATCTGATACTGTTTTTGTAAGGTTTGCTTGAATATTATTGTTGTGTATTTAAAAAAAATACATGAATTAAATACGCTCATCTGTACTCCATCAAAATGTGTATGTTGTTATTTCACAGAACAGCTATATTTGATGTAAAAGAACTATCTCTCCATGGTGCTAATTCTTAAATACTATAAATACTGTAAGAAATAAATAAATGATCAGTTTAAACAACGCTTCAGCTAGTAACTTACTTTGGGCAAATAAATGACACTAACTGAAATACTTGACAAAAAGACGAATCTGGCAAATACAAAAGCCCCCGTTAGTTTGTAGTATGTTAGTTTGACTTTCCTACCACACTGTTTACAACTGGCAGAGGAGTCACCAGGAACTGTCAGTACAAAGAATAAATGTAGAAAGTGAGATCTGACTCTAGCAGTCACCAATAAAGAAAAGCCAGAGTAATTAGACCATCAAGCATTTTCATATCCACTTTGAAGTCTGGCATTAAATCAATACACTAACATAGGATTCTACTCTCGGCTACTACCCCACTGGTAGGTTTTCCAAATGTTTTGTAATAGGCTACCCATAAAGTGCCAATTTGTGATTCAAATGAAGAATAAAGTCTGGAACATCAGCCAAAGTATCAAACACACCAACTGTAATAATTACTCTGAAGAGGGAGTGCAACTGTGAAGCTAGTTTTAACACAAGCAACATCTTACAATTAAGCAGTCGTATTTTCTAGAATCACAATATATATTTTAGAGGAAATTTTCCACTGACATCTTGAAAATTAAGACAGATTTTTTTGTTTCCAAACAAATTTTTAATTTTGCAAATGTGAAAAAAGATTTTAAAAAACATCACCAAGAGTCTCCCATTCACCTTTTCTCACCTTCATTAGTTTTCATGCATGTAAATATTGGTATTAAAAACATTTATTTCCTATTTACCTATAGAATAGCTCACAGATAAAAGAGAAAAACAAAACTTGCATCGTGAATAACAGGAAAGTGAAGTGGAATGAAGTAGTGAAGCAATTCTTTTCTCTAGTTTGAACCCTACAGAAACATCAAATACTCTTGCTCTGGACTATACTAGCAAACCTGCATTTTGCACCCTACAGCAAAACCGAACTGTAATCATGTCTGTATATAGGGAATAACACTAATTCTGTCAGAATAACTACACTTTCAGTGGCAACTCCTGTGACTCCAGCTAATATCATTCTGCATTTACACATCTTCACACTGTTCACAATTACACTGGCAGGAAGATCTTGCGTGAAGCTGTCTGAAGGAATGTATCATATCAACTCACTTATTAAAGATGTGCTAGAAATATTGTGAAGTTATTCTAGCTTAAAGATTACTGTCATAATATATTTACAGACATTTCCAAACATTTAATGTTCACTTACAGCTGTATGTGACGTTCTACCTAAAAATAACAGGAGTACTCAAAGAATGATAAAAGAACAGACTTACCACTTGTACCATTTTGAGATATCTGGCATATCTTGGATCCTTGGCCACAGTTCTGACATTTTCTGTTGCTGCCTCCATTTTCTGTAACCCTTCTTCATGTATATTGTTCTGCTGTATACAAAGAAGATAACACCTTAATATAGTTAGGTATGCAGACCTGAAGCATGCAGAGATCTCAATCCATAATACTTGTAATTTAAGGATAAAGTGTAACTCTTCTTCATCAAGACTATTCTCATCTACAGTCATTACTGAAAAACATAGTTCTAGATCTTTACAGCTGATTGATCTCTTCCAATAGACCTGTTTCTTCCACCTGCTTCAAATGACACTAGAAACTTGACACAGGGAGGTATATTCGTGCCGTGTTAGTTATGATTTATTACTTACTCCAGATTGAGGTGATACAGCTGTCTGTTGATCTGTAGTAGCTTGTGCCACAGGACCATTTGTAACACTGTTCATATTTGCACTGGACACTTCAAATTTCACATCTTCTAGGCCAGGAATAGAGGATAACTGAATGTACAAAACATCATCAAGTAAGCAATGAGCATATTATAAGTCTGCATGCACAATAAAATCTGCAGTATGCTAGTAAAATGGTAACTGGTTTTGGTATTTCAACTGGCAAAAACCAACAAAAAAAGATTTTTCAGGTGGCTTCTACAACAAAAAACCCAGAAGATGCCATTGGAACTCTCACTGCTAACATAGAGATGCAGTGCAGGAAAGGCTTCAACATCTTCCCAGCATTTTGCTCCTCCACTTACCAACCACACCAGAGCTGTGCCATCTTCTCTGCTACTTCATCTACAGTGAAAGACATCATGACAAGAACAGCTCTATTACCCAACAGATGGGTGACTGGTTACAGATTTTGCAATTTTCCACATCTTTCACTCTCTTTTAAAGAAATACTGAGAGTGGATATTAAACATGCCACATATCTATTTGAAGGAACTTCTAATTAATATGATTATGAAAAGTTCTGCTATAATTATTAATAGTGATAATTCCTAAATACTCTGAAATAAATTAGTTAGTAAGCACTGTTTGTACTATTACAGTATTTCATTCACAAAGATCTTAACGAACAGTTTCAAGTTGTCCTACCCCTGCTCCCAGAACAGCTAATCAAAATGAACCATTATTGAAAGAAAGACTGGTTAAAACTTTACAGGGGGTATTCTTTTTTAATCTTTCTTTTTTTCTTTTAGCAAATTAAATGATAGTATATGACTACAGATTATATCCTTTTCTCGTTTTAGCTAAAGAAGATGCATCAGACATATTTGTGCTAGCTTGTATCCAATTCAGGTCACATTTCAGTATCAAAATGTTTACAAGGCGTCTCCATAGTTACTTATACCAGCTGAAATCCTTAGAGTCCAATTAACACTTACAAAGATACTTCAGTTTTACAAAGGGGGCAAAAATTTCTTATTAGAGTTTGCATGGCAAATGCTATTTCATAATGCAACCCTGCAACCTGTTCAATATTTTAATATCAGGAAACTTGTCTCCATTTTCTTAAGATCAAGCAGTGCAATAAAATTAAGACAACTAAACTGCTGTATAGTTCAGCTGCCCTTTCAAGATTGGAGATTTCTTTTCCTGTTCATTATTTTGATTATACTCATATATTCATATGTACATTATCGAACATAAAAATGACATTTCCAGTATGTGCTGCTGGTTCCTTTCTTCAGTATCAACTACATGCCTTGGGTGACATGGTTTAGTGTGAGGTGTCCCTGCCTGTCGCATGGGGGTTGGAACTAGATGATCTTAACGTCCTTTCCAACCCTAACTATTCTATGGTTCTATGATTCTATATTCAGATGTAACACAATGTAAGCAGCAAGGCACGCAAAGAGAGAGTTTGCTATGTGAGCATTTCATATTAGCACCTTCAAATCATTACAAAAACGTATTTGCTCAATTCAGACTATGAAAAGGAAGCTAGTTCATGTAGCCTAGGAAGCTGTCACTGTTAGAAAACAAAGTCTGCATACATACAAACCTTTGCATCCAAAATATTGAGTGTTGTTTCAATTTGTTGGATACGGAGAGAGAGTGCTGACAATTTCTAGAACAGAAAAATAGTACATGAAAGACTTCCTTAGGCACTTGTACATATAAACCAGTTCACCTAAACAAAAATCACTTGAGTCTCTCACCTGCTGAAGGCAGAGTAGAATGTAAATTAAATAACGTTACGAAATGAGTGCAGCAATGACATCCCTTTTTAGTACAGTAGCTATAGTGGTTCAAATTTTAAATTATTTTACTAGGCAGTTAGTTTTGCCAGATAATGACTGACACATGTGAAGACAGATGATGTACAAAAGAAAGCCAAAGCAAATAGGGTATTACTTCGGGCAACTGGAGAATAAAAGTAGACACACTGTACTCTTGCAGTTACCGAAACAGCTTTCTTCCAAGCTTTTTCCAAATGTGGAAGATGAAAAGATATGAAGTGTGTGTACATTACTAAGCAAATGCAAAGTAGAAACATCTGATAAAGAATAGAGCAGGTGATTCAATGTCCTATACAGTCAAAACACGCAGTGAACCAGTACTAACCAGAAGCTTTATATGCTCCAGGTGCTCCTCAGTCAGATTTTGACTTCTTTTTTTTTTTTTCCCTTTTTAAATACAACCTAGGTTTTTTTGAACTATTCTGTAAGAACTGTCACTCTTTTAATTAATCACTACCATACTCCAACAGACCTGTCCAAGTGAAGCTGGCTAGTGTGCTGGCTGGCAGATATATATCACTCTGACAGCTTTCTGGCAAGTTGGCAAGACTCTGCCTGGCTCTGAAGCAGAACTTTAACACCCTAAGAAAATGGCAGTTTCTGCCAACATGCTAGAAAAAGTAAAAAGAAACTGACAGAAGTTAGTCTTTTTGGATAGCGCACTGACTTGTTTACAGATGGTTCTTTGTTCATGAAGAGGAGTTAGTTCCTGTTGAAAAGAACTATGTGCTCTTCATGTAGCTGGGGAAAAGGGAGGAAAGATGTACAAAAGACAGTTTTATAACTTTACAGGTGAGTTTGACTAGACAAGAGCCAAGAAATTTAGAGTTAAGGATGGTGTCAGCCCTAATTTTGAATTTCTTGGCTTCTGTTGATTTACACTGGGCCCTTTCACATTGAAAACACTTCTGTACTCCATAATAAAATACATTCATAAAAATACATTCATAAAAACTCATAAAATAAAAAAAAAATTCAAGAAGCTTATAAGGCAACTAACACTTTAGTTCTCCTGGGTAAGTACATGTTTAGGTTAATTAATAACCATTCTATTAAGTAGACTTCACAGCATTGCTGTGTGCTCAAGATGGCTTTAAATATGTATGTTCTGATTTCCACAGTGTCTATGTAAGAGGTAATATTGAGATCAAGTGATGACTGAGTTTTGGACAACTGACAACAGCATCATCAGGCAGTCACACTGCCCCACGTATCATGTTAAAATAAGTTTAAGAATTTAGAAAAAAAATTACTCTTGCTCCTCTGAAGCCCCATCTTTTGATGTGGTACCAAATTTCATACTTGTCACGGGTCTGGCTCTAAACCTCACTAACAAATAAGAGAAATTCTCAGATTACAGGGTTTAGTCTAATTGCATTTGACAGCTGTCCCAACCCTGCTGGCGAGGCTGTATAGCAGTCTTTGTGGAATAAAGTAGTGAACAGTTACAAAATAACTAGTAATGATAAAAAAAAGTTAATCTTAAAGCCACATTAGAACACACCCTTTCTACAAGGGAAGAATCACTTTTGTCCCCTTCAGTGGACAATTCCAGTCCTGTCAGTCTGCTACATTTCTATTGACTCTAAAATCACCACAAAACCTTATTAACACTAAGTATCTTTGTTTTTCTCTTTTTTACAAGATACTAAAACTAAGTGCTTCATGTTCCATACAAATCGCTTGCCAAATTTTTTTTTTTTTTTTTACAGTCAGAGCTTAGTGTATCACCTTTTAAAATTAAAGGTGGTAAAATCTGAAAGCAAGTTTTGATGCAATACCCTAGGACAAAGATGAGAGGGATACTGACTATCAAAATGGATTCAGCACCCTAGGAAGATGGCAACCTTCTTCTGAAACAAGATGATATCCACAGATGGAGCTGCTCAGAACAAACTCCACGTATCAAAATGTTCAAAGACCGTGCCAAACATAAAAGTCTAAGGAAACAACAGGATTAAGTGTGGTATAATCAGCAGCTAAGGTGGATATCTTGGGGAAAAAAAAAAAATCTGTTTTAAGCACTTACTTGAGAAAAAACTTGAACAGAAAGCAGACTACATTTTTTTGATTTAACCTACCAGTATTGCTGCATCAAAAATATTTTTTATTTTTCATTGTATAAAGTGACAGGTGGGAAAATGATAAACATACCTCTTCACAAACAGTAGAAAAACGGTTGAGAAACTGCACTGTGTGAACCACAAACTGGTTTAGAAATGCTACAGTTCTTTTCTGCTGAATAGCAGGCACCTGCATTAAATAACAGAAGAAAATTAGATCATACACAGATGTCAGTTCTCACATACGGATTCAAAGATCTGTTTAAAAATGCACTTTTTAAAATAAATTATTCTAGAAATCTGCCTCATGTACTTCTCATGAATGATAACATAAACAATTTTTTAGTATCTGTATGTATACATGCATACAAAATCCTTTTTCACTAAAAATCTACTGACAGTTGAAAAGTTGCAGGATTTACAGAAAAGCCAACAAGATCCATATAAGGCCTGTCTCATTTAAGAAAACAATTTTAAATGGAATTGTGAACATTGCTGAAAATCAGTGTTAAAACTTTTAAAAAACAAAGAGGAAATCAGAATCTTTCCTTATGACGCTTCAAAAGGAAGAGCAAACTTGGTCATCTGTACAAATACTCAACAAAGGTGGTTACACCACCACCATAATAAAAAATAGAGTACTGGAATTGCCATCTCAGTCTCTAGTGACTCCTCATACTTTTTCTTATTTACAATCTCAGACTATCCTAAAATTACACATTACTGTCACTCCTCCAAGTCAGACCAGATGCACACATATTTTCGGACTAAAAGATAGAATGTTATGTTTGTTGAAAAAAAAACCAAGAAAAAAAAAGAGCCTGGTGCTCATAGTGTAACAGATAGTTGGCTTTTTTATTTAACCTTTATACAAGACTGTAATGATGAACATTCACACAAATGTTTATGTATAGCATTATAGTGCCTCAGGGTTAATTACCTTGGACAACAGTTTAAGTCTTAAACTTCACACAGGAAATTACCCTATGGAATCATAGTTGGTTAAAGTGAAGGATTTACAAAGAAAAATGATTTGTATCTAAGTTTCAGCTGCACTGAGCAAGTCTCTGCTCTTCACCTCTTCTTTAGTCTGCCATTTGCGATAGGAGCCGTTCACTATACTTTGACAGTCTTAAGATATCCCTGACCTTTTGTGAGACTTTTGTGGGACTTTTGTGGCTGCTATCTCAAGTTTTCAGTCTGTACACCTGTATGGTCGGGTCTGCTAAAGTTTACTTCTGTAGTTCCAAACCTGTCAAGCAGTGCTTACGAACTTATGAGGCAGCACAAAAGATGTAAGGATCACTGTACTATCTTTATGTTTTGTATTTGAGAAACAAATGGTTTTGCATCATTAAAAGACACAGACAGGTAGCTTTGCGCTTACTTGCCTCACAGGGATTTGGCTCACAGTTCTGAGACTGAAACGGCTTTGCCTTTGCGAGACTGGCTATCGCAAACCAGCAGCAAAACGCCGTTGGAAAACATTAATACTGCGTTCCTGGGGAGACTGCTTAAGCCAAGACCCCGCTGCGAGAGCTGTGCCCCTGGTGCAGGGACAGCGGTGGGGCTGCACGGCTGGGCAGCCCCAGCACACCGCCCAAAGCAGCCCTCCTTGACCGTAGCCGCTGAGCGCCCCGGCTGCCCCAGGGTGCCTGGGGCGTCTTCAAGGCCGCTGTCGGGCCGAGCCGAGCCGGGCCGGGCCAAGCAGCGGAGGCGGGGGAAAGCAGACGCGGCTCGCCCAGCACCAGGGCCAGCGCAGTGCCGCCAGAGCAGGAAGAGGCACAACTCCGGATCCCCGGGCGACCGCAGCCCGTACCTTGGTGAGGTCAATGCCGGAGCCCACAATGGGCAGCCCGTCCTCGTCCATCCCCGCCGCCCCAGGCTCGCCGGCCGCCTCCCGCTGCACCCCGGAACTCTCTGGTGCTCCGAACGCGACCTCTTGAGCTTGGCCCGGAAACAAACACTCCACTCCAAGGCGGTCCGCATACACACCTCCTCTCCCACCGCACGGCATCGCGGGAAGTGTAGTCCGTGGGAGGGGGGCAGCTGGAGGGCGGAGCCTCAACTCACCTCCGCCGGCCTATGGCTGACCGTGTGACCCGGGCGGGCAGCGCACAGAGCAGGGAGCTGTGGCCAGGTGCTCCCGAAGTACAAATGCACCGCTTTTACCCAAATTAGGTAAAAGGCTAGTGAATAAGCTGTTTCAGTGCTCACATGCATAATTTGAGTGGTGAAGGGCAATGCTTTCAATACAGGGAAAAAAAATAATGAGCATCGAATGACCATGGGTTCTGATGAAAAAGCAGCATGCCCGTAATCAGGTTAGAAAGGACTCCTGTACGTTACACAAAATGGGGAAAGAGGTGTATGGCTGTGACCTAACGTTTCTGTTTTGTTCAGCAGTACCCACCACTGGTTTCACTTGTTTCTTGGTGTGCAAGTACTTCTGTTTTCAGACAAGGAACCTCAGAGGTACCAGGCTCCAAGGAAATAAGGATTAGGCCTCAGGTTTCCAGATTTTCCCCTGGAAGAATTCTGTAAAATAACCAACCTGTTGGGTGTAATTTTTTATTTGTTGGGCTTGGGGTTTGTTGTTTTTTTTTTCTGTCTTCAGTGGTTGCTTGTATTATCTTCTCTTTACAACAGGGTCAAAGGACTGAGCAGACCATTTAGGAATGGGGTCCCAATACAAACGTGGGTTGAACTCCTCTAACAGGTTGCATCTCATTAGAAAGGGTTTCCCATCTCCCTTTCTTGCTCCCCACTGATGGCTTCATGCACTCATTTTACCATGTATCAGTTAAAACATACAATGATACCTTCCTTAAGGCATTTCACATTGCCACTTTGGCAGAGAACTAGTATTGGAGGAGGGTGTTTTCTGCTTGGTTCATGAGTTGAATCAGATCAGGCAAATTGTACATTGAACACCAGAGTCTGGTGAGCAGGGTTACCTGGCTTTGGCAGCAAAAATACAGGTAACTGCTACCTCATGCAACTTTACTGTGACGTTTCAGAACAGCGACAGAAATACTTCTTTTTGGACACACATCTGTTTGGCTTTGAGCAACGTGATCTAGTGGAAGGTGTCCCTGGCCCATGGCAGGGGTTGGAACTAGATGGTCTTTAAGGCCTGCTCCAATCCAAACAATTCTCTGATTCTGTAATCTAAATACTGCTACATTTAATAAAAAAAAATGTCTAAAGCTGTTAAGAATCTAGCATAGTCTGAAGCTATCGGTAGGAAGCTTCTCATGTGATGAGATGAATAAAGATGCACTAATTACTTTAATACCTTGAAAATAAGCACCTAAATGTGATATGCTAATTTAAAATCTAACAAAACTCTGTTTACTTCCAAATTATTACAGCTAAGCATTCTACAAACACATAGAATCGGTAACAGTACACAGAGCACTTGAATCTTACTCATTTACATAGAATTCTCATTTATGTACTGAAGCAGCTCCTCCTTGGTTTTATATTTATTACTTTCACAATGTATTTATTACTAACCTGCTGTCATATGCACAACATTATTACTCTCTTGCTGAAATACTATAGCCAGGTCTTTTGCCTATACTAATTACTGAACAACCTGCGTTTCGTACTGTTTTGGAACAATAACATGTAGTTGGCTGTTTCTCACATCTCCCAAAAGACGGACAGGGGTTAGTCTACCTCTAGTTCAGTAGGTTTAACCTATCTTCTAGTAATTGTACAAATTTTTGTTGGGCAAAGGGGCTGTTTGTTTAAATTATCTAAGTGATTTATATTACCACCTTAATTACCTCTAAACTTCCTCCCCTAAGTTATATCTGGGAAGAATTCATCCTATTTACCATAAAATGTCCATAATACTAGTTTTCCAGGCAATACCACAGAAGTTTAATGATGCAAATGCTTAGTCAGATCTTATCTGAATCTAGTGGTCTGTAAAGCTGGACAAGAAATCTCACAAGAGTATGCGCTTCTGTGAACTTTCTGGTACATTCTGCTTTTAATTTGGACAAAAATACTGCATAGAAAGGTGCAACACAGCACTTTTTCTCCCAGCTGGAATCAGGAAATCCAGGGCATCAAAAGTGAAAAAACAGAGTAGAGGAAAATGATCTAAAACTTTCCAAAACCCTTAAAAATGTTTTAATTGAACTGGGTAAACTGGAATTATTAATGACTTACACCCCAGTGAAAGGATTTATAAAAAAAATAATTGAGTGATAATATCCAGATTTACTGTGTTATCATTTGAAAAAGTATTTTGTACCAGTATCCTGTATACATGTACAGGATGATAAATGTCAAAAGGACGGACATAAATACTGCAGTATGTAACTGCTGGCTGTTCAGCTGAACACTAGTATTTTGAAAACGTTAACCTTTCAGGATGCTGAGGCTAACTTGGAGCATAAAAGCTAATTGTATTACAGAAAACTGACCAAAGCTTTGTCTTCAGCATTAGTAAGAAATATTTGTCTTGTGATTAGTGTACACTAAAAAGTAAACCAACAGCACAGGTTTCAAAGCACTGCAAGTGATCTACTACATATATTTTTATATTGCACAAAATCAGAGCCTCTAGTCAACTGTGAAAGAAAACTGCACAGGCCGAAAAAAACCTGGCAAGTGCTACTGTAGCTTACAGTGTCTGTATGCATTTTGCACGCTTATATACTGTTACAGGTCCCAAGACACAGTATTCTGTTAAAATCAGTACAGAACTCAAATAGCTATACAACTTAGAGGCAAGTTAAACAGAAACAAAAAGCTGATCCAAAAAATTTCCAGACATGGTGTTACCTGATCCTCCACAGGGGCAACAGTTGTTTTTACTAGGGTGGTCCAATGAACAGCTGAAAAGGTCAGAGTGTGGATTAACATTTTTTTGATGGGAGTCTTCTAAATCCATGCTTGCAACGGGTATTCTAGTAAAGCTTTCTATATGAAACTGATACTGCTTCAATGATTTTTCCCTCAACTGAATTAAAAAGTCTATCTCAGTAATCTAAGTATGTCAGAATATGTACAAATTTAGCAATCAGAAGGTTCAGAGAATTACCAATCCTTGACAGTTAAACAGACTGAGAAATACAAATGTCAGGTGTTATGTGGGTTCTTTTAAAAAATAAAACTGAAATTAAATGATAAATGATTTGCAGTTCTCTGTAAATGGCTCTTCAAGTTTCAGTTTTCCAGGTGCTATGCTAAGGCAACATCAAAGGATTTTGTTCTGCATGGAAGGACATGGGGAACATGCTAAAAACATCATTTTATGTTTTCTGCATTTGTTTTGTTTTGGGTTTTTTTTCCTCAATACACATTTTATACTGGAAAGAAGTAATACAGAGAACCTGGAACTTGGCAAGATCATTCCATTCTTGGTAAATAGTTTTTAGTCTTTAAAAACAGAGTATTAAAAATAAACATTCTGGCTTCTGAATTAACTACCGAACAAATGAGTTTCTGCCCTCTGCCCCCTTGGTTTTAAGCAATTCTAAATAGAAAGTCTTAGTCAGGATGGACCTGCACATAACATAACACATACTGCCCTTGTCCATATGGGTGCTGAGTATACTATATGATACTTTGCATAGCCAGGCACTATGTACAGCTTTGCTCTGAGAGTGGACAGAAAAAAATAGGTATGTTTCAGTTTCACTACACATTCAGAAGAATAACAGTGCTCCAGTCCAATCCTTCCTGTCAGACACACATTTAGCTGTGTCTGTGAGCCAATTAAACTTACAGTTAAAGCTGTACTATGGTCAAAATATGGATATGAGAGATGAACGAAGTGCTGTATCTTGAAGCATCCTCCATTAAGTACACACCAGCCAAGACTGCAACCTATGAGGCACTTTATTCTTCTTTGTGGTAAATTTTGTGGCAGTTGGAAAGGGAAATTTCTCAAGGGTATGAAATGATGAGAAATAAAATATGCCTTACTTTTTAAAAGGTGACTGTAATCTCACTTTTTGCTGTCCTAATTCTTAAATGGTCCAGCATAAATAGGGACAAACAAGAGAATATTTTAAGATCTATGTACTGCTAGCTAATATCGATGGTGACGGTGGTGGAAGGAGCTGTTACATTAGCTGAACATCTCTATATTATTTCACTTGCAGAAGCAAGTAAAAAGGATACTGAAGACAGAAGCTGTATGTCTTTTACTCTTTCCTCTTTTACTTCATTTCTGGGTCTTGTATAGAAGGGATAAGAAAAGTGCCTCTAGAAAGCAGAATGTCTTTGATTTTCTAGTAGAAAGCTTGAAGTAAAAGATTGTAAAGAGAAAAAAGCTTACACACCATTTGGCATACTTAAAAGTAAATCGCTTTGTCATCTTAAGAAAAATAATACTTCTTAAAATTATCATTCTGATTATACCACTAGTTTCTTCACTAATGGTACCAAGATTATTTAGCAAATATATTCACAGACAGTACATTATAGAATTTCTTTCTTATATGATAATCATCGTTGGGCGGTCTGATACAGAGACAGGTGTTCTTCCTGTAGGTACTCTGGACAATTTAGAAGAGGTTGAGCTGTGTTTCCTGATCAAGACTGCAGACTGAGATTGCTGGATATAAAATCTCTTGAAGCAAATTAAAAAAGTAATTTCACACAAAATGCCATGTTAAAAAAGTGTACATTTTATTTTAGGGGAAATACCAGATGTATGATAACCGATTTTACAAAAGCTCTTGTATTTGCAAGCTAAAAATCAAATGCAAATGTTTCTTATTTTACTTGCTCCTTTCTTGTATTCTCCAGGTGAATAAATACCAGTACAAACCGTAAATTCCTTTGTTTTAATGAAAGAGAGACATGATGCTATACAGCTTCATACTAAAGGCAAATGCTTATTTTACATTTCAGATACCCAGAAGAAAATTTTGTGATCTCCTCCAACCGCACATAATGGAAGAGTTCTATGCCATGTCAAACCAGATCCTAC